ATCCAATCACAGCCGGAACAGGGGATCAGCACAGCCCGGCAAGAACCTAATCAGTGCACAGGCAGGAACCTGGAGAAGAACCAATCACATACTACGAAAAAGAACCAATTGTAGCTCGGATATAAGTCAAACATTGCTCGCATCCAATCACAGCCGGAACAGGGGATCAGCACAGCCCGGCAAGAACCTAATCAGTGCACGGGCAGGAACCTGGAGAAGAACCAATCACATACTACGAAAAAGAACCAATTGTAGCTCGGATATAAGTCAAACATTGCTCGCATCCAATCACAGCCGGAACAGGGGATCAGCACAGCCCGGCAAGAACCAAATCAGTGCACGGGCAGGAACCAATCATACTTTGGAGATGGGATAAACCGGTCACAGGCAGAATTGAAACCAATCACAGTCCTGACTGGCAGTCACATGTCTAACGGGAGCCAATCCCAGCCCAAACAGGACAAGAACCAATCAGAACACGGAAAGAACCAATCACAGCCCTGATAGAAGCCGATCAGAGCCAGGACAGGAGCCAATCAAAGCTCAGCAGGAATTGGCCTTCTCGGTAAAGTAATCACAACCCGGAAAGAGCCAACCACAGTCTGTTTTCAAGTTCCAATGGCACATATTTTTGCATAATGGTCTCATCTTGCGCTGACGTTTCAAAAATAATATCGATATATAACAAATGACTCATTTTTTTCTTCATGGAAAGACGCTCTAATCTTGGTTAGCCCCACGACCAAAAGCCAAAATGAAGCCTATTTTGGGTTATGGTGTGGAACATGTACTTTTAATTACAATTTTCTCTTTCGCTTAAGCAGTTATTTACTCGCCAACCTGTTTTGTCTTTGAAGATATGTTCGTATTCTATGATAAACGTTCGCAAAGTATGATTTATGACTGATCACGACGGTGGTCAATTTCTACTCCGATTTAACATGGGTTGCTCACTCGACCATTAAAAAAAAATATTTAAAGTTCACTGTTTAAGGCCTATAATATATAGCATTTATGCTGTGCACCGCATTTTTTATTTTCTAAAAATTGCACAATCAGCATTATATTCATAAAGATATAGACTAACATTTAAAAAATGAATGGAAAGGTGTGTTCGTAAAACTGAAGTAATATATGTACATGTACATTGTTTGTGTATTTAAAAAATTATATTTAAAATTAGAGATGCCGTGACCCTGGCAATGCGTGCACTTAAAAAAAACGTAGAATGCAATTAACAACTCAGTAACGGTCACAAAACAACTGAAACTAAATATAGCTCACACCAGAGTACTGGCGGGGGGCTCTCGTAGCCTAGAGGTTAAGGTGTACGCCTCTCATTCAATAAGTCCCGGGTTCGAATCCGGATAGCGACGGAAATTTTTCTTCTCTAATTTGTCTCCTTTCACCTCCCTTCCTGCTTTCAAGCAATGTTATGTCGTCTGATTTCGCCTTCAACAGCCCCTGTGAAAGCAAACAAATAAAATAAAAGAAGATGAAGACAATTTTTTAAAATCTCTGATTATGTTTGTTCGTCGAAGCATTACAAAACTGTTGTGTATGAATTGGTGTTAATGATGTTGTGTGGTAGCGTTCTGAGCTCAATTCTACTGTGTTCTCTGTGATGCCAACAATTGTATCCTTGAAGAAACTTAATGTGAATAGATGGACATGTTCATAAAATGAGCCACGTGTGTGCGGGCTGCGGTCTCTTCTCTAGTTTATGTTAGTGTTATGTTGTTTTATATGATAGGGCATTACGAGAGATCTGTCTGAGAGTTTGAGAGTCTAAATTCCATCTCACTAGAGAAGGTTCTTTTCGTCCACTTCCTTTGTTTTACATGTATGTATGTGTGTGTGTGAGTGTGTATGAGTATGTGTGTGTGTGTGTGTGTGAGTATGTGTGTGTGTGTGAGTATGCGTGTATGTGTGTCTGTGTGTGAGAGTATGTGTGTGAGTGTGTATGAGTATGTGTGTGTGTGTGTGTGTGTGTGTGTGTGTGTGTGTGTATGTGTATACGAGTACGTGTGCACGTGCACGTGCGTGCTTGCATGTGTGAGGGTATTTTTTATGTGTGTGTGTGTGTGTGTGTGTGTGTGTGTGTGTGTGTGTGTGTGTGTGTGTGTGTGTGAGGCGACTATGAGTCTTTGTCTCTGTCTGTCTGTCTGTCTGTCTGTCTGTCTCTCTCTCTCTGTGGGTGGTTGGCAGGTGCTCTGGGGTGGTTTGCTCCTTCTTTCCTATCAAACATCTATCGTCCTTATCTTCCCCTCCTTTTTTATGTTTGTTACTCTCTTGTAACACCTCTAATCTTCTGGCGCTCATATGACCTTATGCAGTTGCGAGCGCCGTAAAACCTCTACTAAAACTCTCTCTCTCTCTCTCTCTCTCTCTCTCTCTCTCTCTCTCTCTCTCTCTTTCTCTCTCTGTCTCTCTCTCTCTCTCTCTCTCTCTCTCTCTCTCTCTCTCACACACACACACACACACACACACACACACACACACACACACACAAACACACACACAAACACAAACACAAACACACACAACCATTTGTGGGACAAGTTTTTACCACCAGCCAGTTCTAAACCTCATCACCTCAGAACTACATGTATCAATTTTGCCCAAAGTGTCCTCTTTATGTGGGTGGTTGGCGTGTGCTCTGCTGTGGTTTGCTTCTTCTTTCCTATTATAAATCGGTCGTCTATATCTTCCCTCCTTCCTTTATGTGTGTGTTGGATCTACTCTCTTGTAACATCTCTAATGTTAGAGTGGAACTGTTGAGTAAACCCGTCAGTTAAACCGGAACAGGGGCTCTCGTGGCCTAGAGGAAAAGGTGTTGGCCTCTCATTCAAAAAGTCCCGGGTTCGAATCCGGGTAGCGACCGAAAAATTTTCTTCTCTAAAATTGTCTCCTTTCACCTCCTTTCCAGCTCTCTAGCATTGTTCTGTTGTCTGCTTTCGTTTCCACTTTCTGCCCCCATCCCCTCACCTCCTTTGCCCCCTCCTCTGGGCTCCTGACTCTTTCTGCAGCCTTTCTTCTGCTACTCCTTAGCTCCTCCTTACTGCTGTCTTTCTGCCACACCCCTTATCTTCAGGTAGGAAACATCTACACCTAGCCTTCTCGGACAAGGGCGAAAAATCTCGGAGGGCCCGTGTGCAAGTTGCGCAAGCTAAAGATCCCTTGGTGGTCTAAAATGGATAAGAGTAGGCTTCGGCCGCCACCCGGGCAAAATTCAAAAATATCCTACCAACTGAAAATATTAGGTGTGTCCCGCGCGCCCATATGACCTTATGCAGTTGCGAGCGCCGTAAAAACACTTTACAAAAACAAAACCGGAACACGGTGTGTATCCACACCACGCATGTAGACAGCAAAACAATACATTCCCTTGTTGTTGTCAAAGCGGAGCACACTTGAACTCAGCAAATAAGCTTACAATAAATCTCGAGCAATTCTGACAGCAGATGTGTAACGGGCTTATGACAGAAAGCCTCGGGAGGTGCCTCCACTTTTCACGGGTTTTTTTGGGGGGAGCGCCTGAGTTTGGGCGAAGGATTTCCCTGTCCACTCCGCAATGTTATCGGTCCTCCTCTTCCTTCTCCTGCCCAGCGCAGTTCCCTGAAGCATAATAATTTCGTTAAAAATCAATAATGCAGGCTTTTCGATTCTGCTTTGTTTATTTATCTGAAATACAAAAAAGGCAGGCAACAACATGAATATTATGGCACTATGAAATTTACAGATTCGTGTTTTGTGGCCTAGTGGTTAGGCTCTTGGACTCCCAACCGTAAGGTCGTGGTTTCGAACCCTGTCAGGGTTCCGACGTTGTGTCCTTGGGAAAGGCACTTTACACGAATGTTCCTCTCTTCACCCAGGTGGGAATGGGTACCCGGCTATAGACAGCGAAAGATCTTGTCAGTTTGTTAGTGTTTGAGCGCTTACTCAGCTGCTTGCACAGTATGCTTCCCGGGAAGTTGAGAATGTTTCGGAGTGTTCTATGGTCTGCTGGGGTAACAATATAGTGTAAAGCGCATAGAGCCTGCTGTTGGGCGTGGATATGCGCTATACAAATGCTATTTATTATTATTATTATTATTATTATTATTATTATTATTATTATTATTATTATTATTATTATTTTTGATAAATAGATCTATTAAGGTGCAAAATAAGCTGCAGCATTGCATTAGTTGGTCTGCTGATCGGACATAATGTGACACGTCATGTCAAACTAGGCGCACCCCCCCCCCGCCCCCGCCCCCGCCCGCCCCCGCCCGCCCGCAGAGCAATGCTACTGACTGAAGTTGTCTTTAGGCCATTCCCAAAGGAGGGGGGGGGGGTATTAACATGTTCGCACAATAGAATTGTAAATGGGCTGATTTATCAATATCATGCTCATACTATGCCGGAACAACATAGAGGGAGCTGCTGTTTTTTCCCCTCATCCTTGGTATCGTCCCTTTTCCTCTACTTCTTTTGAATGTTTGTCACTCTTGTAAACTGCTATTCCCGGAGTGCCTTGATACATGTAGTCGAAGCAGACTTTGGGCTGTTGAGGCTAGAGAGGTGAGCAGAGGAAGCCGGATTCCCCGTTTGAGCTTCTCTGTTGACATCCACCCCTTGGCGGTCATATGACCTTAAGAGGTTTCGAGCGCCGTAAAACCTTATTAAAACTAACTTAACCAGACGCTTGTCAAAATATTGAAAAGAAAGAATACGGCATTTTCTTCCCGTAGGGCAAATGTTTTCTAATTTTCGTTATTTGGCTCAACGCCTTTTATGTCCATTTAAAGCTGCATTTCCGTGTGGATTTACCGAAAAATCGTTGATTAAAGGCACAAACAATAATTTGAATAAATGTAAATCTGTAGTTTTCAAAAACACTCAAGCGTTGGAAGTCACCACACTTTGGCGTCCATTTTCTCACGAATTTTACCTCAAACATAAGGTGACACCCACCTCTTTAATCGAAAATAATTATCTCGACTTCTATTCAAGATGGATAGGTATTTTTTTTATTGATAGCAAGACTACTGAACCAGCTTTAAAGTGATACTAATAACTTTATACGCCCAAAAATTGACGAGCGGCTGATTCCACCGCGTCATGACACCTATGTGTCAACTACACCCTCAGAGAGTTGATGGGGCTCTCGTGGCCTTGAGGTTAAGGTGTTGGCCTCTCATTCAAAAGGTCCCGGGTTCGAATCCGGGTAGCGACCAAAAAATTTTCTTCTCTAAAATGGTCTCCTTTCACCTCCTTCCCTGCTCTCTAGCAATGTTCTGTTGTCTGCTTTCGTTTCCACGTTCTACCCCCACCCCCTCACCTCCTTTGCCCCCTCCTCTGGGCTCCTGACTCTTTCTGCAGCCTTTCTACTGCTACTCCTTGGCCCCTCCTTACTGCTGTCTTTCTGCCACACCCCTGATCTTCTGGTAGGAAAGATCTACACCTTGCCTTCTCGGACAAGGGCGAAAAATCTCGGAGGGCCCGTGTGCAAGTTGCGCACGTTAAAGATCCCTTGGTGGTCTAAAATCGATAAGAGTAGGCTTCGGCCGCCACCAGGGAAAAATTCAAAATTTCCTACCAACTGAAAATATTAGGTGTGTCCCGCGCGCTCATATGACCTTATGCAGTTGCGAGCGCCGTGAAACACTTTACAAAAACAAACAAAAAAAGAGAGTTGATCTATCCGCCGGTGCCTTGCTCTTTTCAAGGACGCTAATTCATGGTTATCATTGTGTCCATGTGCTTCTCTTAACTCTCACGGAAGTCTTAAAATACAGCGCAATCCCTCTTCGTTTTTTCTCCGCTAGGAAGAAGCATGATATCCGGTCTAATGTACCTACAAATGAGAGCTATAATTGTAATGAACGTTATAGTTGCGGCTACCCACCCCCCTCCCCGGGACAGTGCTACTGAGTGAAGTGTCTTTAGGTCATTCCCAAAGGGGGGACATTAATATGTTCTTATGCTCAGTAGAATTGTAAATGGGCTGATTTGTCAATGTTATGCTCATAACTGTGCCTGAACTGCAACGGGGAACGGCTGTTTTTTTCCTTTCCTATTCCTTGCAATCGTCATTTTCTTCTACCTCTTTTGTATGTTTGTCACACTCTTGTGACCCGGTATTTCCGGATGATTTGATAGCCGAAGCAGACTTTGTGCTTTTGAAGCTAGAGAGGTGAGCAGAGTAAGCCTGATTCCCTGTACGGACTTCTCTGTTGACATTCATCCCTTGGCGCTCATATGACCTTATGCAGTTGCGAGGCCGTAAAACACTTTTAATAAACTCCCAACAAAACAAATTAAAAAAACGCTCGTGAAATAAGTCCTTTGTTCCCCATCTTCCTTCCGCAATCGGAGATGCCCATTTGTATTGCGTCCCTTTTCCCTTGGTAAAAACCAATAGATCATCTTAGGCGCAGAGCACAAAAAACAGTCGAATACCCCTTTAATGACCCGAGCAAATGACGTAATACACTTCAACTTTGCATTTCCCGGTACAAAAACTCACTGCTCTTTAACATATATAATATTCCAAGTCTTGCTGTTGTCAGCATTTGTGAGGCAGCGTGGTGGAATCAGGCTGTCGTCAATTTTTGAGCATGTAGAGTTATTGGTATCATCTTAAAACCTGTTCACTTGTCTTTATTTGGATGAAACAAATATCCATTTGTCTTTTATACAAGTCGAGATATTTGCGAATGAAGGAGGCGGGGTGTCACCTGTTTTCAGAGGTAAAATTAGTGAGAAAATGGCCGCCAAAGATTACTTATTTCCTTAGCTTAAGAGTCCGTGGTAACTGAAAATTTTAATTTTTGTGCCTTTAATCAACGCTTTTCAGAAAAATCCACAAAGAAATGAGTTCTTTAATGGGTATGAAAGGTGTTGAGCCAAAAAACAAAAATTTGATAAAAATTCACAAGCCTGCGGAAAAATGCAAGTTTCTTCACTTTGATTATTTTGACGAGAGCCTGATTCCACCACGCTGCCTCACATTTAGTTTTAACTAACTCTGTCATGTTCACTTTATCGTCGTTGCCATCTTAAATCTCAATGCCGCTTTGGTTTTCGAACGAAATACAGACACTGTACACTCCGACATTTCTGTGGTGTAGCGGTTGCAGGCGCTTCCCTGTCGCACGCAGGAGACTCGAATTCGATTCCCGAGTGGGCAGAATTTTTATCTATATCTAGTATCTCAGTCTTCTGCTAGGATGATGTAGTAGGCTGTGTCACTCTCAGCCTTGGTTCACCCTCATAGACAGGATTAAATGCTTTTCTTCTAAATGATCTAAATTGTATCGATGGTTCGGTTAAAAAACACCCGCATTAACTCGCTACACCACAGATGTTTTTATTTAAAGAAACATGAGACACAGGCCTGTACTCTTCGAAGTGTATCGGGGGAAAATACACAATACAGAAAGAAAGACAGAAAGAAAGAAAGAAAGAAAAAATAAAATACAGTAATATGAGAAGGATTACACACAGACACTCAAGTGCTCTGCTGTGAAATGTGATAATGTGTCTGTCTGTGGTGCACAGTGTCGTGGGCCAAACACTTTTTGTTAAAGAATAAAAAAACGAAAACGAAAAAAGAGAGGAACAAACATTTAAAAATGAATTAACTGAAGGCCTTAGAATCTAATCCAGGATTCAAGTTTCTGTCTAACTCTTTCGTTTCCCCTCAGAGTTGTAGAGCGATTGTTATACAAGTAATATTTTGTTTAGCTGTCGTGCGGGTGGTGTCGCTTAGCTTGGCCTACGTGACGACCTTGTCTCTTGAAATGAAAAATGCCGGGGGGGGGGGGGGGGGGGGGGCACAACGCATCCAAAAATAAATCGTTAGCCCCGGCATACATACAGGGGAAAACCAGAGACCTAGCTACGTTTACACTGCCAGGTCTCTGGGAAAACCAAAGGTTCTCTAGGCCTGCTAGCCTACCAAGTTGTTTCAATTGCTCAATCTCGCGACTGGGTGACTGGGTGAGACTTGGGCGCGACCTTGTGTTACACATGACGGTCGTGAGGCGAGCGTAAACAAACGTTCTAGCCTAGACGTTCAGAGGGATCGTATAAGAAAGTATAGGTTCTAGCGGTCTTAAGTTGAGAGCGTGCAAATGTATCTGGGGGCTGTGTGTGTGGGTGGGGGGGAGGTGTGGGGGTGTGGGTGTGGGTGTGGGTGTGTGAGAGAGAGGGAGAGAGAGAGAGAGAGAGAGAGAGAGAGAGAGAGAGAGAGAGAGAGAGAGAGAGAGAGTGAGAGAGAGAAAGAAAGAGAAGGGGGTAGGGAGAAAAGAGAGAGAGAGGGGGTGGGGGTGGGAGATAATCTTTGGTTCCGGTGTCCTCGTGTGGGTTGGGGTGGGGGGGGGGGTAGTGGAGAATCTTTAGCTACTTTTAGACCTACGGGACAGGCCAGAGACCGTTAATATCATCGGGACAGACAGACAGCTCTTTCCCCGCACAGGTAGTCAAGACCCCCATTTCACGTTTGGTAGTGTTTTATGATTGGCTGACACTTCAGACTATAGGGCCTACGGGGGTTTTCCCAGATAGCGAGCAGGACACGTATTAATTGTTTGTTCTACGCTCCGCGCTGCAAGGCAGAATAATGTTCTTTTTCTGTAAGCAGGGATAATTATCGGCGGTCAACTGTACAGATGAAGTAAGTCCAAACTTTTGACTTTTGTTTATTGTAGTTTCATAATCCTATCCGTACGCCCTGGGGTCATTTTTTACCCCCGAGGTTTTATTCTTCACATTTTAGAATACTTCTAGATCGAAGATCTCTTTGAAACTGTCAGTATTTCACGAAAAAATCATTTTGACAGACTGCTAAGCAAAGCGTACGGATTGGATTAACGAGTAAATTTTCTCTTTGAAAAGTGGTGGCACAGAGTTCCCCTCGTCGTATTGATACGATAGTAAAACACGACGTACGGTTAGTGTTAATCCATGGTAAGCTATCAGTTGCATGTGTTCCAGAATTGAATATTAATGACTGCCTTATTCAAAATCTAAATTTTGAAGAAAAGATCTAGTGGCACAAGCCGGTCGCACACGCCTTGTCGCCTCAAAAACAAACGCGTTTGTTTTCAGACGACGGGTGGAGCGAGCGACCCCGACCCGACCCAACCCGATCCCATCCGCAATGGGCACCCGGTATAAGTTTTTTTAATGTGTGCACTTTTTGTGGACTAAGTAGATCTGATGATGACGATATTTATTTCTGGCTACAACTGAGAACGGAAAAAGGGGTAATTTATGCAATGTCAGAGTGAACTTGTCACTGAAAGGGAGTCTGGTCATTCTACTGTATTCAGAGGATATCTCATGACGAAGAAGCCAGTGAGTATCAAATGAGAGCAAACTATTCGTTATGTAAAGTAATCGTAGAAGTTTTACGCTTCTATCGATGACTGTGTACCTGGCGGTGTCATCTCTGACTCAGATGTTGACGTGTATTGACCCTCCATCCTTCACGGTCGCGAGTTGCCGTTGCATATTCTGCTTATATCCAGTACAGTCCATGCTTTTTGCTCATTCATTCCTATCATACACCTATCGACTTTATCTCTCCACTTTCTTTTTTGTGTACGTTACTCTCTTGTAATACATATGTGAGGCAGCGTGGTGGAGTCAAGCTCTCGTCAATTTTGGGGCATGTAGATTTATTGATGTCATCTTCAAGCTTGTTCACTTATCTTTATTTGGATGAAAAAAATATCAATTTATCTTGAATGCAAGTCGAGATATTGGCGAATGAATGAGGTGGGGGTCACCTGTTTTCAGAGGGAACATTAGTGAGAAAAAGGCGCAAAAGATTTATTATTTCCTTAGCTTAAGATGAGTCCGTGGTAACTGAAAATTTACATTTTTCGTTCCTTTAATCAACGTTTTTCAGAAAAATCCACACAGAAATGAGTTCTTTAATGGGCATGAAAGGTGTTGAGCCAAAAGACAAAAATTTGATAGAAATTTACAAACCTGCTGAAAAATGCAAGTTTCTTCACTTTGATTATTTTGACGAGAGCCTGATTGCACCACGTTGCCTCACATATATTCTTCAGCAGTTATATGACCTTATGGTGTTGCAGGTGTGGTTAAACTCTTACTAACACGTGTTTTTGTGTTGTCCATCCATATGTTACTCTTTGTCTTCCCCTGGCTCTCCTGCCCCACATCCTTCCTTAAAGCACCTCTGCATGGCCTCCGTCGATACTATTGTAATTAGATAACGATTTCAGGACTCGAGCTCCCTCAACGTTCCCTGTCAGGGCCAATGCGGACTGAACGGGATGCAAAATCCCAGCAGAAAGATGGAGATACTCGAGAAAAAGTCTCCCCACTACTAGGGAATCGAACTTACGTCTTGTGTGTATGACGGCGAAGTGTCTAACCGCTACACCAGAGACGATGGGGAACTATTGGTTAGACCAATGAAAAAATGGCCTCACAATATGGCTTTTTGGTAATTTATTATAATGCGGTCAAAAATTCGTTTTTTCTTTTATTGGAGGTTTTACGGCACTCGCAACTGCCTTAGGTCATATGAGCTCCAGAAGATTAGAGGTGTTACAAGAGAGTAAAAAAAAACAACAATAAAAAGAACAAGGGGAGATAAGGAAGATAGACGTTTGATAGGAAAGAAGAAGCTAAAAAACGACTCGTCAATTATCGAACATAAACTCTCCTGTTTTAGCACAGTGACTTGTATCAATTTGTCTTAACAGATCTACATTTTGTAAACACATGTTAGCTCTATTCTAAAAAATTCCTTAATGAATAAAAATAACAAATTCCAGTAGGTGGTTTCTACAGATTTTAAAAGGTTTACAGCTGGGGCAAGTTGTAAAAGCAAGTCCGCCATTTTTTCTGATCGTGAGATTTTGTTTATTCAACGCATGTTTTGAGAACCTTTAGTGCAAAAAAAAGTGTTCACTATAAAATTAATTTCTTGTAACAAGTTTTGCCACTAAAAAATGTCATTATTGAGCTGTGACGTAGGTCATATGCGTACGCAAAATGTGTGGGAGAAGCGGGAAGTGCTGTGAACAATCACATTTTCCGCGTGACGAAGATTAATAGTATTTTATTATATACATTTATGAAGAAAGGTTTTTAATCTATCTTCAATTGTTATGAAAAAAATATGATACAGTCGAGACAAATTGATACAAACCGCTGTTCAAAGTTTGGGTGATATTAATTCAACGGTCAAAAAGATATTTGAGGAAAAGTTACACCTCAAATGTTTGACAGCGCTATAATCTCTAACGTCTGTGGTACAATGTCAGGCTCTTAGTCGTTGCAAGGAAAAGACAAATTGTACAGCAATTACATGTCATATTGGGTAGAATATCCACCGTCTCCTGTAATGTTTATCTTTTGCTTTTCTTTACAGAAAATGGCGGCTGGACCAAAAGTTGTTATTCTGCTGGGCCTTGTAGTCGCATTGAAAGACTTTGTCCACACCGCCATAACGCCCACAGCAACTACTGAGGCTGAAAACGAGGAATTAATCAACAACAAAGATGTGACATACTCTTCGCTTGCTTGGGCAAAGAAGCACTCGCTCACCCCCCGAGCCAGTACTGGGGGTGAAAATAGACGCGACCCTGATGACCCGGAAAGTGTATCAGAGCAAATGTCCGGAAATTCCCGGAGCGGCCGCAGGAAGAGCGTCTTTGGCATGACGTCACAGCGAAAGACGAGTTACCCGAGCAGCCATGATGGAATAATAATAAATGATGACCAAAGTCTGGCCTGGGAAGACGACAAGCCACTACTGGAGATGGGTATAATCTCTACTCACCGTGACGTGTACAACTGCAGCGTTTCAACCGACTGCTTCTGTCACCGTGTTGAAAATAGTCATGGCATAGATCGAATTCAAGCCAA